TTATTATTAATCACAAGACATTGCCTTCATAGCCATTGAACATCCATAAGGAGGAGTGTGCAAAGATGTTTAGCTCCAGCGGTCTTTCTCCTCAGCCCCTTTGCCTGCCCAGTGGAATTACCAGGGCAGCAGTGAGCTGGACCTGTCTGAACCACAGGACCGATTTTGCAAGCTGGGGTGGGGCACTTCCCCTTTTGTCCTTCCTCACTTTTCCCCTGTCTGCAGCCTTTCCACACTTTTTCTCTTCACCCAGCTGTGTGTGAGTTGCAGTAGATTTATGTAATGGCAATGGTTGTGGTTGCCTGGTGGCCCCTCAGCAATGCTTGTGCCCATGCTCTCAAATGGTTGAGTTCCTTTTAAGGAAATAAAGCATCAAAGCTGCTCAGAGAGGGGACATTTGCATGCATCAGTAATTAGCACAACATGCAGGTTACAACCTCTGAATGCCCATGGCTGGGAGGGAAGACCCCAGGGTGTGAAGGCAATGACAGGGTCCCAGTGATTCCAGGCAGCAAAGTCTGCAACTACACAGGCTTCTGCTTCAATAACTGAGTTGTGGGAGGGACCCAACATCATCACTTGGTATTTCCCACTGGAAGAGAAAAATGTCAAAAAAAATCTTCCTTTTAATGTCTCTTCCCATACTTATTTATTTATAACAAATAGAGTTTATAACTTCATTTGAATCTTGTCTTTTTTCTACTGATGTCTATCACCCTGACTGGTTACTCTGGGTATACCCTATGACCGTTTCAACCCAATTTTGTGAGATTAATTCTCCCCACCTCTTAAAAAGAAGATCTCTACACATTAATTCTTCAGGCCCAGACTGTAATCTGTCACTACAGTAGTAACATTTGACTTCTCTCTTAGAATTTTATGGCCATCTGCAGCACCAGACAGCTATCTGTGCAGAAATGGTGAGCCCACATCCTCTTTCTGAGGCCACAAACACTGTGAAATTCTTTATAGGTGATGGCCACCTATGGAATGGGCAGTTATCAATAAAGCAAGGCACTGCCTACCTTTCTAGACAAATACCACCACTGCAGCAAATGGTGCTTTCTCCATGAAGTAGGGTGTGATCTACAGCCCACTGAGTCATTAACTTCCCACACAGGGGTTGAATTAGGATACAGTCTCAGAGCACAAACAGCCCCAAATTGCAACTGTTTACTACACACAGGATGTTCAGTACTGATCATCCACAAAAGGTGCACACAAAGTTTAACCTGAAACTTGCAGAGACTGAGAATTATGAAGTAATATTTCCGAAAGTGTACCATGGGAAATAGCACTGTTCAAAATAGGCCACAAAGCACTAATTCTTAATGGAATGGACTTTCAGTGGGATGTGTATTTCTAAATAAGTCAGACCAAGATTTCAAAAGGATAATTCTCTAGACCCTTAAAGAGCTGTGATAATCTTTGCTGAAAATTCACTGTGTTTTCTAGAGAAACTATCTGTAGAGCACATGGGTGAAAGGAATAAGAAGAAAATAATAAAATGTTATAGATGTCAGATCAGCCTGAGAAGCAAATTTGGGATGGAGAATAGGATAAGGAAATAAGACGATCTAGTGGACAGAGCAGCAGAAATTAAGCATGCAGAAGGAAGCTGCTCAACACATAGTGGCTTTTTTGGGGTTGCAACATTAAAATCATAGTAAGCTCATCGAGGAAATGAGGTGCCTTGATGGTGACCAGAACATCTCTTCCAATATGTTTCTGCTTTGCTGTGCTACTTGGGGTTATTACTAGAAACTGTTGATGACTTCACTTCCGCAAATTACCCTTTCACACCCGTTGATTATCTTTGCACTGGTCATAAGAAACCCATGTTTTGGGCATGAGTTGTCTCCCCTGCCTGGGGAGACAAGCACCATACATTTCATGATCCCCTGTGTACCTCCTTTATGAAATTTTCACACTGTCTAGTCATTTTAAATGGTAATTCAAAAACTGATGACACCAAATAAAATCTGGCCAGTAGAGGACTTCAACACCTTCCTACTCAGAGCAGAAGAAATATTTCAAATGTTTCTATCAGCTCTGTAGCACCACATTAAAGTGCCAGTACAGGTTTGGAAGAAACACAAAAGGAGATTTTTGAAAGCATGTGGAGGAGTAGAGCCTATCTTTTTTTTCTAAAAAAATTATTTACTGTAATCTTTGACCTTTGAAATGCTAAATTGATGAAAAAGGTAATTAAACTTTTGGGTCCAGGGTTAAAAATTATTTCATTAAATATTACTACAAATCTGAGTAAGCAAGTTGTCACTTGAACATTTCTATCTCACAGGTTGATTAAAATTAAAAACAGATTTCTCACCTAATTTCAGTAGGATGAGGTATTTATTCTTTTCATTAAACAAACTTTCAATTCCCATTGTTACTGCTATAGCCCTACATGTACAAAAAGTCCTCCAGAATGTAGAGACCCTCTTCATTAAATGTCTGACTCAAATTCCTTGGTGTATGCTTTACGGACAGTTGATCTCTCAGGGTGTTACAGGTTAAGTGGAATGCACTGTAAATCCTACACTGAAATAAATCCAAATGCTAGGGAATTCCCTTTTGATGAAGGAAACAAATGGAACATTAGGAAAGTCATACAGAGAGAAATTGCTGGCTGGCCATATCTGCTCATGCAGGGCTTGTTGGCTACCACAGGACACAGTCTAGCTCCCACCTGCCAGATGTACACAGATAACATCAGTGGGTCTGTCTTTACAATACTCTCCTGTCTATCTTTCAACCTTCAAACTACTTTTTCAAATCATTCTTGTCTACCTAAGCTTGGTGATAAATAGCAGTGAAGAACAGATCTCGGGACTTGGCAATGACAGTGTTGTACTAAACACCAAGCCTGTCTACAATGCCATGCCACTGCCTACATGGGAAGACAGCCCCCTTCACCCCTAAGACATCTATAGGATCACATAGGCCAAACACCACTCCTAAGGTGTTATTTTATTCCTAGGAAATCTTCTTTTGATGAAGATCCAAAATGTGCACAGCAATCATATTGCTCCTGATATGCCTGGGGCATGTGTTCAGATCCTCTGTAAAAAGGGAGAATTAATTTTTTTAGTATACTGCTTTCAGAGAGCTAGCTTAGAGCTAGCAAAAAGGAGCAGTTGAAGAGGTAAAAATGTATGCAGCTTTACAGAAAAGACAAACATTGCAAGCACTGGAGTCGATACCTACAGCTCATCCATAAAGCAGACTGTGAATTGTCTTTGTTTCTGTTGACTGTGGTAAAAGTCTAACTACAAGATGTAACCCTTGTAAAATAAAGAGCTATGGGTAGAGAAAGTGGCTGTAGAAAAACTGTTAATGTCAGGACATCTAATCTAATGGGTGGAAAATCTAATTTATTGCTGAGTAATGAGAATAACAGATGGAACTTATATTTAAAATATGTGTACATATTGATATATGACTGATATGACTATATGATATAGTCATATGACTATATCATATCATATATATATATGCTGAAGAATCATTACATCATCAACAAGTATAAAGTTCAACTTTGCTGGATCTGCACAACATTTATGTGCATATTAAAGAAAATTCAACATAATGAAAAATCCTGTTTGGGTTTGAACAAAGAACTTAAAAATTAAATTTTTGACTCAAGGCTTAAATATTTTGTAGGGCTAGTTACTGTGAAAGAAAGGAGACATAATTCCTTTTGAACTGATAGACAACCATTTAATGAAAGATTTTGTCCAAAGATCTTTGGACTGAAAAATAAAGCATTTAATAAGTGATCAGACTGTTAAAAAGCTTTTTTAAATACGATTTTTTTTCATAAAGTATGTCAATATGCATGTAGGAGCTGAAATTTTTGCTCACATTTTTGATAAGAGGGGATCAAATGGTAAATGAAGATGCATAAGATGATGCACTCACTACTAGCTAGTGCTGGAGTTTGGGAGTAGGTTCTATTCCTTGTGCTGACACCATCCTGCTGTATTACGCTGAATTAATTATTTTGCCTTCTGTGCCTCCCTTTCCACCTATATTCTTTACTGGACTTCCTTAGACAATAAATATTTAAAAGCACTTGCAATCTTTCTGTAAATCATCCACCCTGACCCTTACTCTTACACTAACATAAGAATGTAATAGTGAGCAATATATTTATTTGTGGGTAAATGCTTGTCCTTTGATAGTCATCCCTTTACAGAAATATTTTTATCATATAGGGCATCAATCACAGCATGCTGTGAGTCAGTGTGTTTTTTATTCCTCTTTTTTTTTTTTTCTCCTATTAGTAAACAGGCATGGTGCTCAAGTAGTGTTTAGTCTTTTTAGTGCACTACATGGGAGTTAGTGCATGAGGTAGTCAGCAGCATTGCTAGTCCTTGATGGGAGTCTAGGATCCTTAAGAATAATCAGAATTTTGCACAATCATCTCTGGATAACAATTTTAACCCAATGGATTTTATCAGTTGTGGTTTTCTGTCTAAAAGACAAGTGTTTTCTAAAGTCCAGGTGAAAAATCAAGGATAAATGGAGATCAGATATTAGAACCACAAATATATAAATACTATTTATGTTCTAATATGCATTTCTGAAGAAATCTGAATAGCAGATAACAAAATAACATTCAAGATAGAATTCAAATGAATAATAAAAATTATTAAAAAATACCTGAGCATTTACTGAATTTTTATCAAATTTGACTTTGACCTGGATCCATATATTTAATTCAATTTCCCAAACAGAAAGAAAACTGTCTTTCCTGGGGAGAATTTCATGCAACAATCATGTTTTAGAAAGAATTTAAATAGTAGGATTTTTATAAGTTCTCTGTGGATGAAGATGCCTTTCCCCAAAAAAAGGTTGCACAAAAAAACACTATGTACCTGAAGAAGATGAAAAGGCACAGGACCTGCTTGTTTATTAGCTTGTGAAAAAAAAGTTTAACATTATTACTATATCATCTACTATTATTTCTTATTATAGTGTATTTGTCATCTTACCCAAGATCCTGTCATTCTTAGAACTCTGCTGACCTCCACTACTAGTTGAAAGGTCCTCTGGTATAGGCATAGGTTCATCTGGATCATCAGGGACATCACTGGTTGGAGGACTTTCCTTTCCTAATAATGAGAAGAGCATCAATTAGTAGTCAGAGTAGTCTCATTTTCAAATAATACAATAAGAGGAACCACAAACCAAATAAAACTTTAAAAATCCCCTAAACACCACTAAAGCATGATATTCTTAGGACCAAACCCTACTCTCCTGCCAAGAAAACTTCTTACGAATACAGGGAAATTATTTTTTTTAAAAGAATGCATGCCAATGTCTCCAAGAAATTTACTGAGATACTCAGTTATTAGCCTTACCATTTTGGGTATTTGTGAGATATGTATGTTTTCCAGCTGCTATGCTCAGAAGATCCAATTTAGCCAACACAGACTGACAGATCACAAAGGTTATCAAATGTTCAATTATCAATATCAAAGGTTATCCTTTTTAAAAACTCTTCTTTCTTCCACAAGTTCTCCTTGAGAACTGTCATGGAGTGACTTTACCTTTAAGATAGCTTTGGGAGCTGAAGAAGTTGAAGCTGCTGGTGGCTGATGGGAGTCTTTTCTCCTGACCAATTATCGGTCATTTCTAAAAACCAACAGCAGTTTTGACCACTGAAAAGTGAGATCAACTTGTGAACACCACCTTAAGATGTAAAGCCAGAGCTCTCCTGTTCTCTTTGTGTTTCCGGCATCATTCAAGGCTCTGTCTTGGCCTCCTCCCCCCCCCCCCCC